GCCTTGCGAGTGGTAGTCGGGGTTGTTGGTGCTGCTGCCAGTCCCAGCGCAGACATCGTGCTCAAGTCGCATCTGCTAATGCCCACTGCTCAGGAAGGGAGCTGAGCCTGCTCAAAAAGAGGCAGAGCTGTGTGTCCCCCCTTCAAGCCCCCCTCAAACCCACTCAGTGACTATGTAAGAAGTGAGTCTTGCCCCTTCTCATCTATTTCCCAGGCACAACCTTCTCCCCACCTCACCGGCTTTGTCATAGAAGTGGAGGAAAGTGGGATTCTGCTGTGGTGTGTCCCTCAGCAGAATGTTTGATTGGAGACCACAGGCTGGAGAAACATTCATTCATTCATTCATTTTTATAGGCCAGCTATAATTGCTGAGGCCTTAGAAACCAAGTCAGAAGGGATCCCTCTGGGCCACCTAGTCTGACCCCCGACTCCAGCCGGCTCCTTTCATGTAATCCCCAACATGTGGTTGTCCAACCTTGCCTCAAACACCATCACTATAGAAACAAAGCAACTGAGGGCCCATCTAGTCCAGCATCCTGTTCTGGGGGTGGTTCAGCAGATTCCTACAGGAAGCCCACAAGTAGAGTTTGGAAGGCTGCAACCATCTCTGGTCATTTGACCCTAATACCTTTCATTCAGAGGTAGACTGCTTCTGAATATGGAGGTTCTGTTTTGACATTTGTTAATAATTTTTAATATAGTTCACTTTCAAGAATCCCCCCCACACACACATACCTTGAGCAGCCCATACAGCAATTAAAGTTTTCAAAAAGCCTCCCTTGGAGCAAATAGTGGCTTTTTTCAAGGCTAATAGCTGGGTGAGGAAAGAGTTACTCCTTCCATTGCCAGCAGCAGTCTTCACTAAGTTTCTCTCTTCATCCCATGCTGCCTCTGCTGAAAAAAATAGTCTCAGGAAGAGGTGAGGCTGTGGAACAGAACTGAAGGTTTTGCAGGCCGTAACCAGACCACGGGCTCCTGCATTAGCTTTTATAATGTCTGGGCAACCAACTAGTTCAGCTTTGAACAGGCCATGTGGCATTTTGGCATGTGCAGCCCTGCCTGTTAACACATGTAGCTCTTCTGTGTCTCCTCTGTTTCTTTCTCTGGATCTGGTACTACTTTCAGGTTCTCCCTCCTCAGGTTGGTACTTCTTCCACTTGCACCAGCTACCACTGTATGTTTGTATTTATTTATTTAAAATATTTATATGCCGTCCTGTTCACAAAAAGCCTCAGGACGGCTTACAGCATAAAATATAACATAAATAAATTCCCAACCCACACTGGCTGCAGTTAAAAACATAGAAAAGATAATATTAAAACTTATTAAAATATCGCTGGAATAAAAAGGTCTTAACCTGGCGCCGAAAAACAAATAACAACAGTGCCAGGCAGACCTCTCTGGGGAGCACATTCCATAGATGGGGCGCCACCACAGAGAAAGCCCTCCTCTGGGTACTTTGCCTCCTAATATCTTTCACAGAGGGTTCCTGTAGGAGAGCCTCTGCTGCTGATCTCAAGGGGCGGGAGGGCAAATATGGAAGAAGGCGTTCCTTCAGGTATCCTGGTCTCAAGCCGTTAAGGGCTTTATAGGTAATAACTAATACCTTGAATTGAGCCCGGACTTTGATGGGAAGCCAGTGAAGCTGGTAAAGGACTGGGGTTATGTGAGAATAATGCCCAGTCCCCATCAGCAACCGGGCTGCTCTGTTTTGCACCATCTGAAGTATCCGGACTGTCTTCAGGGGCAGCCCCATGTAGAGCATGTTACAGAAGTCCAACCGGGAAGTAACTAATGCATGTGTTACTGTCGCTGGGCAGTCTTCCCCCAGGTAGGGGTGCAGTTGATAGATTAGCCGAAGCTGAAGGAAAGTGCTCCTTGCCACCGCAGTCAATTGAACTTCCAAAGACAGCTCCGGGTCGAGGAGCACTCCCAAGCTGTGGACCCTGTCCTTTAGAGGGAGTGCAACCCCATCCAGGGCAAGGTCCAGGCCACCTACCCAGGAGCTCGATCCATCCACCAACAGGACTTCCTTCTTGTCTGGATTAAGTTTCAGTTTATTGGCCCTCATCCAGCCCATTACCTCGGCCAGGCACCGGTTCAGTACAGCCACTGCCTCACCTGGATTAGTTGAAAAAGTGAGGTAGAACTGGGTATCATCAGCATACTGATGATTCCACATCCCACACCTCTTGATGACCTCTCCCAGCGGTTTCATGTAGATGTTAAATAGCAAAGGGGACAAAATGGACCCCTGCGGAACTCCATGGCATAACTGCCATGGCGCAGAGCCATAGTCCCCCAGCACCACCTTCTGGAATCGGCCGTTGAGGTAGGAGCGGAACCACTGCCAAGCAGTGCCTCGTACTCCCAATCCTGCCAGCCTATCTAGAAGGATACCATGGTCGATGGTATCGAAAGCCGCTGAGAGGTCCAGGAGGACCAACAGGGACGCACTCCCCCTGTCTCTCTCCCTGCACAGGTCATCATACAGAGTGACCAAGGCAGGTTCAGTACCAAACCCGGGTCTGAAGCCAGACTGAAATGGGTCCAGATAATCAGTTTCATCCAAGAGTGCTTGGAGTTGTCCCACCACCACCCGTTCCAATACCTTGCCCAAAAATGGGATGTTGGCCACCGGTCTATAATTGGCGGCCATCTCTGGATCCAGGGACGCCTTCTTTAGAACAGGCCTGATTTCCGCCTCCTTTAAAGGAGCGGGCATCTGGCTGTCCCTCAGAGAGGCGTTAATAACCTCCAGGACCCAGGCACCAATCCTGTGCTTGGCTTTGGTCAGCAGCCAAGAAGGGCAAAGGTCAAGTAAGCAGGTGGTGGAACGTACTTGTCCAAGCACCTTGTCCACATCATCAAGCCACAATAACTGAAATTCATCCAATAATGCCTGACCAGATGGAGTCATTGGCATCTCCCCTAAAGGATCTGAATCACTTGTGCAGTCCAACTCGTGATGAATCTGAGCGATTTTCTCCTTAAAGTGCTGGGCAAAGTCATCGCAGCAGGCCATCGAAGGTAGTACAGGATCTTTCTTTGGGCCAGGATGTATCAGCCCATGTACCACTCGAAAGAGCTCCGCTGGATGGCACTGTGAGGAGGCAATGGAAGTGGAGAAGAATTTTTTCTTCACCGTACTAACTGCCACAGCATAGGCTCGATAATGAGCTCGTAGGCGTGTTTGGTCAGATTCATCCCATGATTTTCTCCAACTACACTCTAGACGTCTCCCAACCTGCTTCATCACCTGTAATTCAGACGTGTACCATGGGGATGAACGGGCTCTGCCGGGCAGGAGAGGACACTTAGGAATGATCGTGTCAATAGCTCTGATCATTTCCCCATTCCACAGTTCAACCAGACCATCAACAGGAGCACCAGCTTTATCAACTGGAAAATCCCCCAGAGCCTTCAGAATTCCATCCGGATCCATCCGGCTCCAAGGGTGGACCAACACAATAGTGTCCGCACCCTTACAGAGGGAAAGGCCGGCATCGAACTCAAACCTCACAAGGATGTGATCTGACCATGACAAGGGAGTCAGACACAAATTCCTCACTCTCAGATCACCCTCTTCCTGCCCCATCGAGAAAACCAGGTCCAGCCATGTGTTCACGTTCATGGGTTGGGCCTATGGCATGTTGAGACAGCCCCATGGCCATCATGGAGGCCATGAAGTCCTGAGCCACCCCGGTCAGAACAGTCTCGGTATGGAGATTGAAGTCCCTCAGGACCAACATCTTGGGGGTCTTCAATACCAGGTCCGAGACGATCTCCATCAGCTCAGGCAGGGAGTCTGATGGGCAGAAGGGTGCACAGTAACACCAGCAGAATCCCCAATCTGTCTCGGTCACCCAGCGCCAGGTATAAGCACTCTAGACCTGGCCTTGAGAGGACAGGAAGCCCCGCAAGGGAAATAGAAGCTCTATAAATTAAAGCGACCCCCCCTCCCCTCCCCTCCAGGCGTGGCTGGTGCTGGACCAGATATCTGGGCGGGCACAGTTGAAAGAGAGATACATCCCCCCCTTCCCGCCCAGGTCTCTGTTATGCAAGCCAGGTCAGCCCCCTTATCCACAATTAGGTCATGGATGAGGGATGTTTTGTTATGGACCGACCTGGCATTGAGCAGCAGCACCGTCAGGCCCGAGGGGTGGTTGATAAGCTTACCTGGAACCTTCCGGTTGGGGGAATAACCAGAAGGAGGAACAGGTGTCAACCATCTGTCCCGCCTTCTTCTATGCTGACCTGTTAAACCCCCAACGCCATATCGACCATTGCCCAACACCACCCTGATGGTGATGCCCACACGCTCCCCAGGCAATCCCATAGTAGCAGCCAAGTGTGAAGCCATTAAAAACCAATCCAATAAAATACTATTAAAAACACAATTAAAATCCACCAACCCTCCCATCACAAAACAGGCATACACACGCCCAGAGTTCCTGGCCAGCCCAGCCCCGCACGGCCCCAAATGGCCCCAAATGGTCATGACACCCTTAGGCTGCCGGCCTGAGGCCACTGGCCTCTGGCTGCGGCCGGCGAGTTAAGCCAGCGACCCCTCCCTGCGCCCACCCGCAATCCAGCGCAGCTGCCACCCATGCTGGCAGGGGAGGGGGGCAAGAGCGGGCCCGCAGAGAACTCGCCGGTGATGATGGAGGGCCCACAGGCCAGCAGCATCCCCTGGTCTCGGTCCTGTGGTGGCTGCTGTCCGTCCGTCCGTCGGGCAGGCCCTGAAAGCTTTTTTAAAATGGAAGTTGACCCTTGCCTCGGGCTGCAAAAGTTCCTGCATCCTGGCCTCCTCCTTTTCTCCTCTTCCTTTGGCAGGACCCCTCCACTGCTGCATTCAGAGCTGCTAGGCAGCAACCGGTTTCTGTAAACTCTTTGCCTTTCAAAAGTGCGGCACATATCACTGAATGCGCAGTTGTTTAGTGCTGAGCTATCTTGTCCCTTTCAAATTCTCCTAACACATTTGATTCTCCTTGTTTTCAGGTGCCTTTGTTATCTGCTGGACCCCCGGGCAGGTGGTGCTCCTATTGGACGGCCTGGACTGCAAAAGCTGCAATGTGTTAGCTGTGGAAAAATACTTCCTGCTGCTGGCGGAAATCAATTCAGTCATTAACGCCATTGTCTACTCTTACCGGGACAATGAGATGTGCAACACCTTCCGGAAGATCCTTTGCTTTGCCTGCTACAAGATGCCAAATTACATGCCAGCTTCAGTCAAGTCCAGCACCACAGAGCATAGGATATTGCCTCAGAACGGACATCCAACAATGGACTCCACACTCTAATTTCTTTTTGCTGGTCATTCCAGTGGTGATTGGTTGGAGGCCCATCTCTTTGTGGCAAGAGACCGCCATCTGTCATGTCTGCAGTGCAGCTGGGAGGACCACTGTGACCAAGGTTATCAACCAGGGTCTGCAGGGGACAGAACCGCGCCTGTGCATTGGTTGGAGACTGGCAGCAGCAGTCTGAATTTGGCACACCAGGTTGTGGCCTCCTGACAAGAAGCAGTGGTGCTGTAACTAACTGAGCACATGCTTGTAATGCAACAACTCTTTGTTGTCAACTGAGCAGAGGAATGGGCACCTCTGTCCTGTGCTCCATCTTGAGAGGCACCTTAAATATCCTATTACATTAAGAGCCATTTCAATACCTGTTTGCTCCGTAGCTTCGTAAAAGACATATATTTTCTTCTTCGTGGGCTAACAAGCCGCAGTTGCTCTGTCTGTGAACAGACGGTGGGTGACCCTCTTGGGGAAAACCTTTGCCTTGTTCTGAAACACAGATATTTGGACATGTGTTGAAAAGTAGTGGGTCAGAAGCATGGAACCACATGCATTTCCATTCTTGTGAGCCACTGTTTTTAACCAGCTGTGAGTGGTGGGGTGGCATTTCCTTGCCAAACTGAAGCAATTGTCTAAAAGTTTCTGTGCTGGGTAAAGAATTGTATTAACCTTTTTCAGTATTACTGCCGTTTGGGCATGGCCAATTGAGGGGTAAGATACAAAGGCTGCACTATGTCTTCTGCATTGACTGCCTGCAAGTCTGCTACAACTTGAAGTGCCCTCTCTGCATAAGTTGCAGCCCCTTCCCCTTCCCTCCCACCCTGTGTTTAGCTCAGGGAAATCTAAAGCACGGTGTCAAATGCCCCACTGGTGAAGTCCATGGCAGATAGCAAGTTGTAAGGTAGGTAATCCCTATTAGTTGAGCACAGAGGTATACATGAATAAGATACATGGATACAGTACAACAGCCCACCCCTTGCTTGTTGTACTATTGATGCTTAGTGTTTGCATTACAGGTTGACCATACATACCTTAGCTTCCCACATCACCTTTGCTGTAAAGCAGGGGTGGGCTGTTTGCAGGCCAAAACATCTGAAGGGCCAAAACACCCATGATGCTGACTAGGGCTGATGGGAGTAGTAGACCCACAAATTGCACAACCCCTGCTGTAAAGGAAATCCGCTGTGTATTCTCAGATGTGGAAAGCATCTACTGTGTAAGATGATGGCTCCCACTGCAAAGCCATGTCTGGTGCAAAAGCATTCTCTGTTCACAAGAATTGGTTGTTGCCGTAACCTTGTGCAGCTGGGAGATGCTGTGCTCAAAGGGAGTTCAGCTGCCCCAAGTTCTTCCTGTTGTGCGTAGGAGCCCTGTTAGCCCTAACCCAGGAGGCATTCACTAAACATGCACAAAAACCACAGAAAATGATCAGTTAAGAACCTCTGCTTCTCAGCAGCTGAGCACATGTTAAGTACAGGGAAACAGGGCTCATGACCCGTAGCTGCCTCAAGCCCCTTAACTCAGGTCATACAACCGACTGCTTCCACCGCTTCTGCCCTTGCTGTTAAGTAACCTTCACTTTGTGCCTTCTCCCAGGGATGCTGATACAGATAACCATTTTCTTGTAGATAGCAGCAGCAAGAAAAGAGTCATTTGTGGTAGGATCCCCGGAGAGAAGGCTCTCTAGTCTTCCCCAAGCTTCCTTTCTAAAGTTTGCTTTTTTCTCTACTGTATCAAGATTACAGAATGTGTACATGTGATGCAGAAGCGATTCCCGCCCCCACTTCCCACCCCAGCTGCTTCAAGTGTGTTTCCGGTAAAGCATGGACATTTTAAATTCAAACTCAAAAATCACATATGTATATACTGACAAAGTAAACTGAATACAAACAAGGTTGCTAAGGACAGGTCTCTGTCCCTTAAGAGGGTGTGGGGCATAAAAGCTTTCCTTGTCCTTTGGGCCTATTGGAGACCCTTGGATGTCTGCCAGCATCTCACATCCTCTGTATACTTCTAGAGTCTCTAGCTTGCCCTTTCCCCTTCCTACTGGTCTCCTGTGTGCAGGTTGGGACTTGTTTCTCTCTGTGCAGTTCGGCTGCGCCCACTCTTTGGCACAGACACTTGTGTCTGTTTCTCGTCTTGCATTTCAGCACACTTCCTCTGTACCAGCCCCATCTACCTTCCTGTTTGGCCACAGTGTTAATCTCACTCCTGAAACTGCCAGTTAGAATCCCGGCTGCCGTGACTCAGCAGTCAAGCAGTGACCCCACCCCCCACCACACACACACCTAGACAGAACTGGGTGGCCTTTCGATCAAGCACCTGAAACTCTGCCAGTACAGGCAGAAGCTAGCTGGCATGCTTCTTGGTATAATGATCGTCAGATAATATCATCTTAATTCATGTCTGTGAAGTGAGTTAAATAGTCTTCTTTCTGTTGTGAAAACATCAGCACCAAGTCAGCCTTTCCACAACCCGATGTCATTCAGGGGTGGGAGAATACAACTCCCAGCAACCTCAAGAGGTGCTGAGAATTGCAATCCAACACACATGGAGCCTATTAGGTTGGGGACTGCATTAAGCCATTCAGAGTTCATGAAACTGACTGATGGGTAAGATTGCGAGCTAATCAGAAAAAAATAAATTTATTTGCCCTTAATGGCTGCTTGGTCTGTAGCCTTCAGCTGGTGAGAGAGAATAGTTTTCATCCACAAGTTTCTGCTGAACAAACTGCAGTTAAAGGCAGAGCTGCAGCAAGTTGAAACAGTGTCAACCCTTGTGCAGAAATAAAGTTTCCGTTATTTGGCCCAAGCATTTAGCTGTAGATGTGGTCAGAAACTTAAGAGGAAGAAAAAGAAAGGTAATTAAGAAGTAAAGCTTTACCTTTGGCTTTATTTCCATGGCATGCCAAGTTTATTTATTTATTTATTTATTTATTAAAACATTTTTATGCCGCTCCATTCGCCGAAGCCTCGGGGCGGCTTACAACATAACCTCTCTAAATCTGGCTTCTGTAAGAAACACAGAAGCGGGGGCACTGCACTGAATTTTTTTTAAAAAATGGAAAGGCTATTTGCACACAGTGCACATGTAGCCTGCATTAATGGACGGCCCAGTAAGATGCCTTGTAGTTTGCCTTTGTGTGATGGATTTTTCTTTAACACAGAGCCCGTGTGGCAGGGAACAAAATCAGAGCCAGGCTGCACAGAATCGGGGGCTTCTATTCTTTGAACCCTCTATCTCTCCCATGCCACAATGAGAGGAAAGCTGATTTGGTGTCAGTGGAAGCTTTCCACTAATTGCAGAGTTTTTCAAAGTGGGATCCCCCCTCCTCCCAACCACAGTTCTGATCCCCCTTGACATGCTACCTGTTTGTTTGTTGGGAGATGTGGGGAGCTGTAGTACAACACATCTGGAGGGTACTGGGTTGAGAAAAGCTGAAGTAGACAAATGGCCAGTACTTCTGTGGAACATTGGCCTGATGCAGCAATGCAAAAGCAGTGGGGGCTGTTTGCAGGAAACGAATGGTAAAGCGCTGCTTAACCCTTCCCCTGTCTACAACTCTTCCCCACTGCCAGCAATCCTCACCCTTCCTGGCTGATACCTTTCCCCCCATGGCAGCATGTTCATACTTAGCTGGAGCGAAAGCAGGAAGTGATGCCCACTTTGAGAAAAAGGGCTACTGGGGGAAGGTTAACATCCTCCCCAAACCAGCAGGTGAGAAGCATCCTGCTGGGTTGCATGTTCCTCTTTCTGCTGCTGCTCTTTCTGAGCAAGAAGATTGCACTTGCATGTAAAAGGGAAGCACTGCTGCTGAAGAAGATAGGGAAGAGAGTGGGACTACATCCAGATGGATTGCGATCTAAAGACCTGGTGCAACTATTCTCTTATGTCCGCATTAAGGGATATTTTTGTGGAAAGAAAAGAGATGGAAGCAGCAGCAGTTGGGAAGACAGGGAAGGGTTCTCAGTGGAAGGTGACTAGGTTACCTGGACCCCTGTAAAATCCTGTAGGCAAAGCAGATGAGTGTATAATAAAGCTTTATCTGGAAGTGTGTGAGATGGTGGGCAGGACTGTGGTGGGAGGAGCAGCTTGGGACAATGACAAGGAGATCCCAAAGTGTCCTGACCCTCTGGGTAAATCTGAGAGATGCATTCACATGCTACCCAACACCACATGACCACACGCTACTTTTTGGGACACCAATCTGCATTTGGTCCCTTGTGATACTTAATCATAGTTTCATTACCTCTTCATGAACACAGCTTATGCTTTCCCCTCCCATTTTTAAAATTTTGGACTTTCAGAGAACTCTGAGGCATGGGATCCTGCCAGTCTTTCAGGCCATTGCTCAGTTGCCTTAGGCCAGGCTGTTTGTTCCTCTAGACTGTAGTTGCCCACTCCACTTGGACTTTCCAAGGTCTCTGGCATGGGCTTTCCATATGCTGCTGTGTGATCCTTTTATAAGATTAAATGCTAGGGCACAACCAATCCCCTCCTACTGAGCTACACTTCCTCCTTGAGTGTTGCAGCTTATCATGCAAGCACTTTTCAGCAGTCCTACCTCCCATTGTAGAAGATTGAAATGCCTCTCTTAAGACTCAGGCACTAGCCGTAAGTCCATTAAAGGATTGGCCCCCAAGAAGGGGCGGCATAGAAATGTTATAATAATAATAATAATAATAATAATAATAATAATAATAATAATAATTCTGCCCATGGAATGCAAAAGGTTTCCCACCCCTTGGGAAAGTGTTACTCACATGAAGAGGTAAAATGTATTGAAAGTGCTATAAATCTGACCTGTCCAGAATAGCACCCAATTCCTCCTAGCCTTACTACCAACACATGTATGGAGAAACCTCTATGCATGAACATTCCTGATCATGCAGGGGTTCAAGGTCCCTGGGAAGGTGATGTGCACAGCTTCCCTCTGCTCAGTGCTAACACAGATAATAGGACCAGGCAGAGCTATCTGGCTTCAGGGTGGAGGCACAACCTTGCAGTCCCTTAGTCCACCGTATACAACAGAGGCTTCCAGCAACACCTAAAGTCAAAGCCACCTGTAAGAGTCCCTTAGAAAAGCAAATATTGGCAGTGCTCTGGGTTGACTTGGCCATATCGACTTGGAACTTGGTGGGACTGACATTGGAGTAAATGTGCAGGAAATCAAGCTTCAGAATGGCCAGTTCTCAGAAGAGGGATGGTCCGTGATGGGCAGCATGTGTCTGCATGCTTCACAGGTAGTGTTCAGTATGAGCATGTAGAGGGAGAACCACCCAGGC